AAAACTCACTCCACCAACTTTTTCCTCAACCACATCGGTTTTTTATACTCATTTAATTGGCTCAGCAATGCCAGGCGGTTTTCGACGGTTTCTCCAGCGTCCTGGTACAATTCATCTAACTCTTTGACGTACTCCTCGTTAGTGGGCCGAATCTTCACTGCCCTCTCAAGGCATGAACGAGCCTTTGGCGGATTTTTGCGTCTCAAAGCTTTGCCAAGGATGAAGAATACACGACTTGAGCGAGGATTCAGCTTTGCTGCCTATAATTTTTCTGCTGTAGTCTTAGGTTGTTGATCACTAAAGTAAAACACACGAGGTAAAACCCAAAGGATGGCGTGAACTTGAAAAATAGAGCTGAGGAGGCGCTGTTTGACAGGAAAGTTGTACGATACATAGAACATAAAAAATAACTAATATTGCAAGAAATGCTTTAAAAATGTGAACTTTGATAGTTCAGATTTTTCCAATATTCTTTCATACATAAAGTATTCTCGTAACAGGAGCTAGATAACTTGGACCAAAGTACTATGTACCTTTACTAACAACGTCGTGGCATCTTTCCCTAAGAGGATATTCAGTTCAGCCACAAGAACGATGTCTCGCCACGTTAAGGATTCATCCTTCAACAGCAACTCAGCATCCGATGCACATTCATGGGTTTCACCAGTTTGCAAAGCTCTTACAATTCTCAAACACAAAAATTTAATCTAGGGCAAAAAAAAAAAATGCTTGCCTACTTTATTCTTTTCGCATCGGCTGAGTCGACGCCATATTCCTGTATAAGGTCGTCTAGATCGTCACCTTTTAACAATGCAAGCTTTGCACAATCAATAACGAACATAGATGATGGATGGTCTCCAGATACCTTAACTCTATAAAGGAAAGATTACCTAAGCATTATAAGATATAGGAAGAGATATAACTACCTCAGCGCCTCCTCTGCTTGATTCATCGCCAAAAGTGCTTGCTTTTTTAGCCATAGTGCGACGTCCTCGCACGCTGTCGTAAGATTCTGTTTGACAATCCAATCGACAACCTAAAGTTAAGTATATGATGATGGAACAAGTCAAGGGGTTGACTTCAACACAGCGAAAATGTAGCAAAGATGAAACGCAAATATAACCTCAATTACTGACAAAATTTTGCAGAAAACCTAATGTGATAAATGATAGTAACAGAGAACTCCGAGACGTCGTAGTTCTCAAAGACTTCAAAGCCACGCCCACCGCACGTTGGTATTGCGTTGCTCAGCTTCAAAATGATGCAATAAGAGTATTCGGGAAACGCAAATAAAATTAAGACGAGATGGGAACACAATTTCAGTTTGATCTTTGGCCAACAAAATTACTTTACAGCGCTCTATAACTGTTGTCCTTCTTCAATAAAAAAA